TACCCGTCCTCCATACAAAAAATTTTTGGCTGATCGTGTAAGACACCAGCCGAGCCGAGCCGTGCCAAGCCGAGCCGAGTTTTAGTAATTGCTTTTTTTTCAAATCATCAGCAGAAATTGTACAATTCAGGACGTAGCGATGAGTCACAGCAAGCTTTGGAGATTAGTTCCTTGAAAAAAAAGGAAGCCATGTTTGAAATGATGCATATTGCTCCAGGTCAGTTCCTAAACAAATGCTCATAATGAGATCCCAATTTCGAACTAAAAAGACGCTTCGACCAAAGTATCAAGAAATACAAACACTCGTTTTTAGCGCCCAACCAAAAAACTATGTTTGTACGACTCCGAGATGTAATCAGCCAAAAATGAGTGATTAACCTCATGACGTTCGGCGGAACGTGGTTCTGCCTGATGCAATTTTTTCTCCAGTTCACTGAATTCCTTCGCAACTTTCGTAAGATAATTGAAATACGTCAAATACTTTGGGTATTCTTCCTGAAACAGCTCAACCGTGAGCAGCAGCAAGTCGTTCCAGCCCAAAGCACGAAGAGGAAGAAAGCAAAAATACAGCTGCAAAGGAGGAGATAAATAAAACTCAAGTGTTTCGATTGAAAAAAATGTATTGGAAACTCTGGGTAAACGAATTGAGGCGAATCTATTGTATATTGGAGAATTAAGGCATTCGCGAGATTTTCCTGCCTTTTTATTTTACGCTCATCATATTAGGCCAGAAAGATACATTCTGCAGAACTGCAAAAAAGAAATTACCAGAAATTTGCTGTAATATTTATCGCATTCTTCCAAAGAACGTGGTGCTGGAAACTCCTCAGACCAATCGCGGCTCGGTTGGATCGCAGAAAAGCTACGACTATTCAGGCTAGAAACATTGTTATTTGTTGGCCGATCTGTGTTGGGATTGCTGCTGCCTGTCTCCGATTTGCTACCTGTGACATTCGGCTCTGATGAGATTCGTTCGCAGTCGCTCACTGCAGAGGCAACACGATTGCTACTGTTCTTCTACAAACATCACAAATTTACAGAGCATGGATGGTGTTCATTTTTGTCCTGGGCAGAAAAGACAACTAGAAAAAAAAAGATGGTGAAGAGCGAAATTTCAAGGAAGAGACTCTCACAGCTCCAGAAACTCTCACAGCTTTTTTTCATAGCAGCCTGTGTTTTCTCTTGTCTGCTTCCGTCACGACTGGACGTTTACCTTTCTGGTCACAAAACAGCAGTACTGAAATCCCTCAGAGATCCTTCCGCAGCTGAGTGGAAAAATCTATTCCGCTTCTTTGACTGCAAGTGCGGGAAAATTTGTCACAACAATCCTACAACACTCTCTGTAACGGTCCCCAATTACTATCACTTTTATTTGCGTCTTTAAGCTTTTGTGTGTAAAAAACAGTTTGCCGTTGCTGCAACTTGAAAACTGGAACTAGACAAAGTCCAGAACTGATTTTTAATAAACTCTCCAAGACATGCAACGAACGGGACAGTCTTCCGAGTAGTGCTTGTACGCTTCTGTTTTTCCTACAACAGCGCCTGGGCTGACCACAAATGTCATTGATGCTGTGAAATCAAAAGCAGTAATTCCCAACCGGAATGCAAAACTTTACAACCCTCTGGTCCAGCAATTTCTAAGCTTCCAGAAGTCAACAGAAATGCCATGGGTCCTGATGAAGCCTTCAGTCGAAGCCTACAACCGTGCCTCACCTGCACTGTAGTATTCTTGGGTGAAGAAAAAAAGCTGGTCGGTGGCTGCTGAGAAGACAAACTGGTGTCCGATGGATCCTCGGGAGGCGAAAGCGACTGCCGTCGTACCTTTTTTGGCAATACTGCCGGACGAACTAAAAACGGCTGATTATGAGCCTTTCTTTTCTTGGGATTGAGCGCATCCGAGTTGCTGAGATCATCTGCTATCTTGGCACTGCAAAAAAAAAAAAAAAATCATTGGCGATGCGCACCAGGCGGGCCCGTGCGATCATGCGTTTTTGCAGTATTTCGTGCTATAATGAGATCGCTCGGAAACCTGGTAGCTAGGATTTGCGACATACTGGCCCTCGAAGCTCGAGAAGTTAATTGTCTACGTGGTACTTGGACAGGGAACATTTCGCTAAAATCTCAGCTTTCCAACTTCTGCCGTTCTAGAGTTAGCAATTTTCCTGTCAAAAAAATTCGTGGGTTCGTACATGAGAACCATACGTATCTGGGAGCTGAATTTGATATCTCTAACTTTTACAGAGGCTGGGAACGTACCCTTAAAATTTCAGCTCCCAGCTTTCCTATTTCCCGAGTTAGCCATTTTTCCGCCAAAAAATGTTACGGGGCCGTACGTGATAACAACGTATGCCAGGTACCTGAATTTGATTAAGTTGATATGTGCTGGGAACATTCCCTGAAAATTTCAGTCTCCTAGCTTTCCTGGCTCCCGAGTTAACCACTTTCCCGTCAGAAAGTTTCACGGCGCCGTACGTAAGAACCACGCGTGCCTGGGGCCTAAGCTCGATGACTTCAAGTTGTACATGCGATGGGAACATTCCCTAAAAATTTCAGCCTCTCGACTTTCCTGGTTACCAAATTAGCGATTTTCGCGCCAGGAACTCTCACGAAGTCATACGCGAGTACCATTCACACCTGGCGGGGGGGGGG